GGGGTATAAAACTCGAGCCTGGCTCCAGCACCCTGCAGCTTTCAGGGTTGAGGTGAGAACAAAAGGGGGTTCAGGAGACCTGAGCAATAACCAAGAATTTAGTTTTAGATGAACAGTAATCTGCATAGCAGTGAGAAATGGGATCAGAAGCAAAGGCCACTGATAAGGATTCAGGGAAGCAGGGCACAGCCAATAACTATATAGATGGACCCATTTTTTTTTTTTTCCTGGCTGAGGATGCACGGTAGTCACGTGAGTCACTGCAAATGAAATACCGTGCGTACTTTTTGCAGAGCTTTGGCCTCGGTTAACATCCCCTCTCCTTTCAGGTGAGTTATTTGTAGCAAGGTACACGAGGAGCCTGACTTTGCAGAGCCGTAAGCTGAGCGTGCTCTGAGCTCCCAGAGCCCTGCACTGGGAGGCGGGACTCCTCCCTAGGAGGGAGGTGTCAGACTGTGGTTTAGACTTGCGGTAAAAATGGTTTGTCATTCCTTTAGTAATTTAATTTTTTTGGTTGGAATTGACAAATACTGTCTTTTTCCCTGTTGTAAATCATGCAAACTCTTCACTGTCAGAGGAGCTTTCAAACTGAACTTGGAGGCAGCTTCCAAACCTCTTGCCCTTCGATTCTCTGTTGTAAATTAGAGCTGCTCACTCTGGCTTTAAAGAGAAGCCCAGCAAAAAAAATGAGCAGCTTGGCTCAGCTGGCTCAATCTATTCATAGAGAGATGCAAAGCTGTGGACGCAGTGGAAAGGAGAGGCACTGGAATACGTGATGAGAAATACCCTGGAGGAGGCTAATTTGTAGCATTAAACTGCCTCTCTTGTCCCATGAAACCACAGCCCAAATCAGCACGAGGAAGACCTGCAGGTGAGGTGTAAAGAACCAGAGAGAGGAGGCTGGCGAGAAGGTGGGGAGGGGTGCTAATTGCTGATGAGTGAAACCTGGATTCATTTGTCCAAGCTGTCCTGAAGCAAGTGACTCGCTGAAACCCATTTAGGAAATCTGTGCTGGAGCAGGGACTTACCTCGGGTTGGCTCGACGCTCCCGATACTCATAAATAAGAGCCATCTCCCGCAAGGCTTTGTTTGGATTGAGAGCATCGTAGAGGTCAGCGGTGAAAGGAGCTGTTGGACTATCCGCCTTAAATGTCACCTAGTGCCCCTGCACAGAGCTGTCTACCTGTAGCTGGCAAAAACCAAACTTTGAGAAAGGCTTCGCTCGTGGGTATTTTAGACCCTTCCTTTGGATCAGGTTCCTCCCAGGGAAGGGCCAGGCAGGCACCGTGGGCTTCTTCTTGCCCGCTCACATTCGTGTAACTTCTTTAATTGGCTTACCTTGGCTTCTTAATGGCTGTCTGCATGTTTTCAAGGAGAAAGCTGGGTAAAAGTGACTAAAAATAGCACAGTGCATCTGTACCTGTCTGAATTCATCCTGCGCAGCTCTGGAGTCAGCTCCAGACAACGGCGCTCCTTGTTGGACTTGGATATTTCATCCCTCTCTGCAGTTCCGCGCTCAGGCTGATCTGGGTTGGTAATCTTAGGCCATACATTATTTAAAATTAAATTTGCAAAGATGCAGATGTTGTATAAATCGCTGAGGGAATGTCAGGTTATGCATGTAACTTGCAGAAGGGCTTCGCACTGATCTAACTCAGCTTGCAGCGAAACCAGGGGTTCAAAATTAAGCTGAGGCAGAGAGTTCGGGAGTGTTTTTGCGCTGCGGTTGTACTAGTCATGGACTAGTCATTAAAATGCCAGGGACAGAGAATCAGTCACTGCACACACTCGTTACTCATTTCCAACCCAGAGGCTTTTGCCGCTTGTTCAGGACGTTCTGTGATCAGGGAAGGAATAAAAAGGATGTGATGAAAAATACATTGAATAGATTATTTGATACTAATTATTTGCTGGCTGTCATTGGCAAGGCACCCAGTGTTCTTCAAGAGTGTTTCATTTTTATGAGAAAATCCCACCCACAATGTTCCTCTTCCTAGATCAAGTTGAGCATATTAATGTCATGAATAATGATGTCTAATTAGAGTCCGCAGTCCAAATGTAATTGATGGCAGCTATTTAGCATAGATATCAATTCTAACTTGAAAAAGTGCCTTATCTACTCCTCACGCTTAGTTTCTGCCTATGTGTAAATAAGTGGAACAACAAGTGCTTGATTTTAACGACATAATGGTTTGGTGTTTCCTCACAAGCGTTAAAATCGTTGCGGGCGTTTAGTAACGTTAAAGCCAATTTTTAATTCACTCTAACGTAGTGCTCCCCAACCTGATGGGAACTCGGCCATGACCCCATAGTTGCTCTGCGCCGTCTACTCTTGCTGGCGAGAGTCAATCGCTGCCGTGCAGCTTCCTGCTGGCATCTGCCACCCCTAGCCTGATGGCCCTGGCCGTGGTAGAGCATCTTGCAGGGAGTCTGGGAGAAACCACCTGGCAGAGATTTCTCTGCGAGGATAGGCATGATAAAGAGCTTTGGAGGGCTCCTGGTCTTTCTCGGGATGCTGGTGGTATATGACGGCAGAGGTGAAGATAAAAGCCATCTGGATAGTTTCTTGAAGCGTGAAGAACTAGCTCCTTCTAATACCAGCTTTAAATAGCAACGTGAGCTCAGAAATGTAATGTGCCCTTATTTCCTTCAGATAAACAGAATTGTGAACGCATACAATCAGAAACGTCATTTTTCCTGTGGCTTAGACTGAATCGAGAAGGTGTCTGACGTGCTCTACTTGCTGAAAAAAGGCCAGTTTTAATAATGGGCAATTGTGTAAACAGCAAATCAAGGTTTGTACCTGAGTGTCTGTGGTCCCAACAGACAAGCTGCTGTTGTTTTGTGGCGCAGAAGAGAATGAAGCCAGTATTTGTATTCTTTGAAAGCAGGTAGTAGAATATTATTAGATCATCTCCCCAGTGAAAATATCACCTGCTACATATGAATCGTCAGAAATGCTCTGAAGTTAATTGCTGCTTGAGAGGCGCCGTTGTTCAGCTGCGAGAGAGTGGGTCAACTGTTGATGAGATCACCAATCCAATGAAGTTATTTTGAAAGATGTATAAAAATAGCCTTTGTGCTTAGCTTGATTTGGGGCCAGCTGAGCATCACAGCATCTTTAACTGGCTCGGTGCGCGCGCTGTGCCTGTGCACGTAGGTGTTTGTGCATGCACAGAGAGGGCATCAGTCAAAAGCCTCAAAACATGCACTGCAGTTTTTGAACCTGTGGCTGTTGTTATACAGCTATGAATTGCCATCACCACTCGTCTTGGGAACCTGGAGTGAAGGTTAAAAATGACGCAGTTAAAAAATAAGAGCACTATTTTTGATTTTAAGTGGAATTTTCCCACTTAGTGGTGTTGCCGTTGAAATAGGTGTACCTGTATGTATGCTGTTTTGTTTGACAGTTTTTTCAGCTCTAGATGGTTTAGGATCCTTCTGTTTGGAAGGTGCTGTGTTACTGATAGACTAAAGGTGACTATTCAAGTCACGTCAAACTTGTAAAATGTTTTAGTTTAATTCAGTGATGCTGACAAGGTCTGGGCTGAGTCTTATTACTTCTCAACTGCTGCACCTCTCCGTATTTTATCTGAGACATAAAAAACTAATTTCTGCATGTGTGAGTAGGGTACAGCACTCACAGTAACATTTTTATTTCAGAAGGATGATTATACTGAGTGGTACATGTGTATGTGCCAACAGGCAGACTCTAATACCGCTAAGGAAAGCTTTGCAATGAGCTTCTGGAAGAAAGCACCCTTTGGAAATCGGGTCTCCCTCATAAGGGGTATGTTACGTCTGGGATCTAGTACATCCTAGGGAAAACATCTCTCAGAAGGACATTCATGCACCCGAGATTCCTATTAAGCCTGTAACATCCTTACGGAGAGACTGGGATCCTTGACCATGGCTTAAAATACAGTTGCTGAACCTTGATAACCTTTCATTGTTTTGTTGCCTCTTACCTAGGAGTAGGACATTCATTAAAACAACAGCTGAATATCCTAAAGGATGAGCGTTTTCGTCTTCTGTGCAATGCAGATGAATCTGGAATTGCCTGTAGAATTAATGAACCGCTGCTAATCATGTGCAGTTCTTTGAGATTAGCTTAATATTTCGTCCCAAAGTACATGCTGGTAAAGACTTTTAATTCTTGCGTATCATATTTCATGGGACTTTATAATAGCAGTAAGGAAGCAAGAGCCTCAGTGATGACAGTGTAAACTTACTGGGTTTAGTAATTTAGCACCTACAGGGCTGTCCCAGTCCTCAGATGTTACCTGGTGACTTCCCTGAGCTGGCAGTGGCTGTGTATGTGCTAATCCCTCCAGAAAAAAGGTTTTGAGGAGTCTAGATGGCAACAGCAATGGACCCAAAAGGGGAGAGCTAACAAGGGGTTTTTTTTGGGTTGAGGACCACTGCAAGCTTAAGAGCTTGGAGACCGGACATGAGGTCAGCCTGCTGCTTACCACTGGGCAAGAGGAGGAGAATGACCAAAACGCTCCTGTGGCAAGGTCGGGGGCAGCAGGAAAGCAGTCCTGTGCATGACAGCTAAGGGGGAAAAATGTCTTTTTAGGTATCAGACAGGCTTATGCCTAATAGAGGGAAGAATAACTATGGGGAAGAGGCTGCTGGAAGGAGACAGTGGTGCTATAACATTGTTTTCTCCCTCTCAGATGTGCCCAGTGTGTGTATGAGAAGTGCTGGTTAAATACCAGCAACCTGAAGCAGTGTTTTTCATCTTCCTGCCTTAATCACATCTGAAGGTGTGGATTACACAGGAGGAAACAAGCTCCCTGCCTGCCAAGTCGCTTGAAAAGTTTCCCTTATTGATTTGCTGCATTTGCTCTCTTCCATGAATGAGAAGAGAGGAAGCCTAATGAAAAATGTTAGAAGCTTGTCCAGTTAATTAGTGTCTATTTTAATACTTTCGTTATCATTTGTCACTAATTAATATAACATAAGTATATAAGCTCATATTTTGTCTTATTTTTCAGTGAGAAGCTGGATGGAGAAGCTGAAAGATAAGGTAGGAGGCTCTGTGTTTCTCTCAATCATTGTAAGAGCAAAAACATTTTTACTTTGAGGAATAAATAAATTCTTGCCAGTGCAGTTCATTAGCTCTAGAAAGACAATTGTGAAGGGGCTTAAAATTTTCTCTGGGATACAATGAACCAGATGCTGCTGTTGTGTGTATTAGTGTAAATACACAGTACATCCCTGATGAGTAGTAACTAAGAGCAGAGCCAGGGACAGGGGTGTTTAATGGGCTTCTCTGGACTAGTAAAGTACCTTCTCTTCAGACCACCCGAGTTACGTTTTTATTGGCCTTTAACTTTCCTCCACCCCTTTTCTCTATGTCTGAAGCTTGGTTTGTGGTCCTCTCTGCAGTGCGGGGTGAGAGGCTGAGTGCCAAGCTACTGCTCTTGAACTAAACCTGTCCTGTCACCACAAGTAAGAACGGCTGCAAAGTCCTGGAGAGGCAAAGAGCAAGCACAGGAACACTAAAAAGATGACAGACCCTGATCTTTTGTCCCTGATGTTGCAAGGTGGTGGCACATGGAATGAAGAGTTACACCAGCAATGGCAGAGGCGCTGCCCTAGGGCAAATATTAACATTTTGGAAAGGTTGTGAAACGTTCCAAATGTTGTGTTGGGGACAGCAAAGCAATGACACTAGAAGTGGGGTGACAGTAGTGTTTTAAGACACAACATTTTGTGACTCAGCAGGATTTGGAAACTCTTAAACAGGAGCAGAGCTAACATCGCGAAAAACAAATGGGATAATGAGTTGATGGGAAACTCCTACCCCTGAAAACTTGTCACTAAGCTTGAGCAGACTTTCACCCAGCAAACTCAGCCTTCCCATGAAATCCCCACCAAATTTCAGCAGTACCTGTACCATCAATTCTGATAAGAGAGAAGGGGTCTGGCTATCTGCTTTCCAGGGCTGGGGAATGGAAGGGCTAAGGTGGGTTTCTTCCCGTCCCTTGTTGAGTTGGTTTTCTGCCTGCAATAGGAAGGAGGCATGTCTAGTATGACCTATGCTCATAGCAGAGCATCTTGGCCTGGGATTCAGCCAGAGCGAACCTTGAAGGGAGAGAGAATGGTTTTCCTAACAAAGGTAAAAAGCAGACGCCCAGCCTGGCTGATCGCCTGGTGTGGATGTAGCATGCCCGTGTGTGTCACCTGCTAGTGCCAGACCTACCCCAGCCTGTACCACACGCTCTTGGGGGCATCAGGCATCTTCTCACCAAAGCTGTAGCTTTCACTTCTTTCCTCTGGGCATCCCTCTGGCTACCTCTCTCTCCCTCCATTGCAGAGGTGGGTGCATATTCCAGTCTCCAGCAGAGTTACTCTTTAATTGGGACTGAGCTGCTTGCAGGTGGATGGCAGACAGCATTGCAATGCCCAGCACAACCACCACTATCTCTGGTGATCTGCTAGCATCCACCTAGAAGAGAGACTCCCCTCTAAGCTATCTCCCTCCCCTGGAGAATGGCAGATATGTGGAGGCAGATCTTTCATCTTGCTCGTTTTTCTTAAAATAATCACTTATTCCATCAGAAAAGCCCACCAACTTCCCCCTCACCCCCACCCAAATACTGATAAAGTGAATCACTCACAAATAAAGCTGCTCAGCCTGTTTCCTCCTTTTCCCTGTTAAGTTTATCAGCACCATTCTTAATATCTGCTCTTTTCGTGTGGGCTGTTGGTAGAACCTGGTCCTTTCTATTTGACGATCTCCCCACCTAAACCAGGATCCCAGTCATGTGCACACATTACTCCTGTGTCCCTGAGTGACGGCCCTCCTGTGTCCATCAGACCTGCCCTGCTGGGAGAGCAGGCACGGGGAACATGGAGCCAGGAGCGTGTGTCAGTGAGCTGATCCATATCTGGACTCATGCAAACACTGTGCAAGTGCCTTGGAGGACAGAAAGCAGATAGCAGGTCACTGCTCTTTTGGAGCTCCTTTGCTGTCTCAAAGTCCAGTAGAGTAAGGAAGGTGCTGGTCATGAGCTGAATGTTTTAATAGCATTCTTAGGATCCATAAAGAAACTGCATCTCCCCACAGGCTAGAGTTTAAAAAGTGGCTGCAGAGCTGCCGGTGAAATTGGGTCTCTTATCAAATAAGTGCAAAAGCCCCACAGGCTGTGCCGTGTGGCACAGAAGGGCTGTGGGAATAGGTCCTGGGTGTCCTGCGTTTAGTTCACGTTGCAGGTGTTTGGGGTACAAGTCTGTCCAGCTGTCTGGGGAAGCCTTACAAAGAGCATGGGCTGCCCCAGCGTGATAAAGGCTCGCAGACAGGCTAGAGAATTCACCTTATTAAAAACAGTGATTTCGGATAAGGAAACTCATTTGGGCAGCAGCTAAAAAGGCACTTCCAAACTTTCCTCACCGCCTGTGCCAGCAGCCAAATTCCAGAAATAGCACCCCCCCACTCTGCACTAATTAGGTGACCCAATTAAGGCACCTTAATTACCTCCAGGAAATACTTTTCTCTGTGTTCTCACTAACCTCCTTTTTCAGGAACTTGGAGGCAGGCAGGCTAGCTTCCCTCCAAGCATGTACGCTGAGCAGGGCTGGCTTTTCTGGGAGGGCATCTGAGTGAAGCGGCAAGATTTGTTAAATACCTGAGCCCTTGAGCCTTGGGATCTGAGCAGGAAGTTGTTGCATGAAAAACAAGCAGGTTCTGAAGGGGTTTGTTAACGCAAAACAGCCCTTGTTAGCATTGTTTCTGTCCTAGATGAAAGCAGTTATTTTTGTGCTCCAGATAAGCATATGAAGCCAGGGCAATGCATGCCGAATAGCTTTTTTTTCCCCCACCGAGTGGATTGTGGAAGAAAAGCAATTACAGTGTAAACAAGCGTTGTTGAGTTTTGTTGCAGTTTGGGAACGCAGAGGAACAGGAGTTGTTGCAAGTGGTGGATTGAGGCTTGCCAGTTGTCAAAGAGGCCTCTGAATTACGTGTGTGTTTTTTGACAGGTGTAAAACCTGTTTTGGGATGTGCAGAGGGGGAAGGATAAAGCAGTGCTGCCACAGTGGCGAACGCTGTTTCTGCCGCGCGAACGAAGGCAGTGCTGTTAGGAGAAGCAGCCAGGCTGTACCTGCCTCCCTTACTCTATTGAGTCCCCATACTGAATTAAGTGAGGATGCTGGAGCAATTTAGCACTTTACAACTGGGGTTAATTTTCACTTAAAACAGTAAAATGTGAAATAACAAGTACTTGGCAATATTTGTCAAAGTATTTGAAATGCTTCCAAATTACTATATGTATTTTTCGTTAGTGTTACAAACTCCTGAGTGTTGCAAACGTGTGGATCCTAACTACTGAACTGGAGCTCGTTTACCTTTGCTGTGCTTTCCTTAAGGCCAGCTGAAGGTGACTGCCCTCCCTCCACGCACCGTCCTGCCCACCAAAGTGACCCTTTCCCACGTGAAGCAAAACCCTCTGGCTCAAAGATTTTGAGCAGAAAGCCAAAGAGGATCAGCCTGGGCTGGGCAGGGCCAGGACAGGCTTGTTCTTCTTCTTGCAACGCGTGGGTGCAGTCGACTTTTGCATTTCAGCTGTTTCGGAGCCCCAGTTCCAGGTGTTGGAAATAGCCTCCTTTATTCCCATGCTGAGATGTAGCATCCGTGTCCTGAAGCACTTGCTTTCCCATGCCATCACATCTCTGCTTGGGGAGTATGGGAGCTGTGTAACACCGTTTACTCAAGGTGTATTTAACAGTTCGGTCATGGTAGGACACGTTTTAGGGATCAGAGCAGGCTGGAAGTGCGTTGGGTCCCTTTCCAGTGCAGAACCCACCTTCCAAGGTGGAGATCAGCTCAGCTGCTTTGCAGTACAGCCTTCCTCCAAAAGCAGCCCCTCGCCCTTTCCATGCACACCCTCCCTGGTGGCTGGCACCTGGGCAGCGCAGTGCCCACGAGCGCGCCATAAGGGTGCGTTGAGACCCAACTCGACCCCTGCCCTGCTAGTCCGGATTCATAGCGAAAAGGGTAACAGCAGCTCATGGCCAGCAGCTCTCCGGATTGAGCTCTGTTAAGCGCAGCCAGATATACATCTGTGCCTCGATTTATGCCCATGCTAGTTGGGGAGCTCATTGAAGCACTCAGCCTGCTTTACACAGCATGGAGCAAAGCTCTTTGAGTGTTTACAGGTATTCCTTGTGGCTTGTGGTTGCCTGCCTGTGGCAGTCGATGCAGGTTTTCCTTTGCACATGCATGCTTATTGATAGACACTTCACCCCAGCACCTGTAACTCTGCACCAAAATTATTTCCTTTCCTAAATGGGGGCAAGCGCTGCATCGTCTCAGCTATCATAAGGAAATTTCTGTTAGCAAACTCTAACGGTTTGTGAACAGTTGTGATTTCCAGCTAGGTCCTGGAGTGTCGTTAGTTAGGGGCTGGGAATCCGGTGAGTCACTCAAAATCCATCCTCCGATAGCCCTTAAAAGCCTAAAGGGTCAGGTCACCTATGACCCTTGCAGGTGAACCCTGCCAGAATCTTAAATTCACATCAGTTTTGATTTTAATCTTGAGATTTGAATAGGATGTGACTCTTTAAAGTTTTGGTTTGGAAGCCAAGAATATTATGTCAGAACCAAGCCGTATTTCATTTAATATGTCCTTAAACCTCTGTGACCGCAGTGGAGAACGTGGTCTAGATGCCCACCTAGACAGGACATCACAAAAAGGGATCGAAAGGGTAGCAAGTTATATTACTTTCACTAAAAAATTGATGCAGGAACAGATTATTCCTCATATACGACATCCTCAGAAACAGATGGTTTTGGTCACTGCTGGATCAGGATGCTGAGCCAGTCTGAACCAGTCCAGGGATTTCTGTGTGAAATAGAGGCTGATAAAATGCAGATTTGTTTCAAAGAGTTCCCAGGGTTTTTTTTCAGGAATCCTGTACATAGGTCTCATCTTTTGCAGGGGTAATAAGGACCCAAACACAATAAACTTAGAGGAAAGCAGCACAGGGATGTATTGCAGTCCTAGGCTAGTAAAGAACGACTCCGAACGGACGGTTTTGTGAGTGCTGCTGTGCTTGTCTCTTTCCCATGCAGGCAGGATACATGTCGGGAATGCTGGTTCCTGTAGGAGTCGGGATAGCCGGAGCCCTTTTTATCCTAGGAGCACTCTACAGCATTAAGATCATGAATCGCCGAAGGAGAAACGGCTCAAAAAGGCACAAAAGAAAGGTACAACCGCTGTAATGGAAAATCCCCAATCTGTTCCCGCCCGTTCCCCCGTTAACAGTTTTGGTTATAAAGTAAATGCAGTCGAGTTACGGCAAATGGTTTCTCTGGTTGAAATGCACTGCGGTTCTAGACCGTAGTACTGGGGGAGGAAGTCGAATGCTGTTCATTTTCTTTTGGTTTTTGGAGCTCTTTAATGTTTCTTTTCATCCCCTAGCAGAGGGAATTTAACAGCATGCAAGACCGAGTAATGCTCTTAGCTGACAGCTCTGAAGATGAATTTTGAATCGAACTGCAGAGCCGTTGTGATATCCAGTGACTTTTCAAGAGACGGAGGGGGAGAGAAAGAACAAACGAATTTCTGCTGCATTACTGCTCTCAGCCACACGGAGCCACCGAGCAGTGGCTGGTACCACCCTGGTGAAATGGCATGCTATATTCTACATGTAACGCGCAGTGATGTTTGTTTTGATACAGTAGTGAGATTTCACATTCACACCGGCACCTCATTCAGATCCACAGCACATATTGTTACAGCTGGAGCTGATACATAAGGATGATTATTTTCCTATTATCCTGGTGTACTCTTTTGGTTCTGGCTGGCAGTAATCTAATCATAACAATAGCTCTCACCTAATCGGCGAATGGAGATCTATACTGTGAATGACTACTGTCCGATTTGTTGATTTTTAAATGTTACATTACCTGAGCTAGAGTTCATTAGTGCTAAAATTAGCTGCTCTGCTTAATTAATGAGTTATACACTTGAACTGTATCCCTTGTCAACTGAGAAGTGCCCAAGTACAGTGTTGTTAATAGAGCCTGAAACACATTTCTGCACTCTTTTACCCAATTCTCACCTGTTCTTTCACAAATCCTCCCTTCAGCTCTGTTCCACGCTTCTTGGAAACACACAGGAATGGCCTCAGCACTTGATTCACAACAAAAACCTTAGTCCATTTTCAACCAGCACTGTCTATTACAGCACAATAAATACCAGCACGCACATACTGATGGATAGTCTTGCATGGATCTCTTAGCTTTTGCTCAGCGTGCAAATAGGTGACAGAAAAGGCAGGTCAGAAGCTTGTTCAGCTTCTGGCTCCTGTCTGATGGCACCAGTTACTGGTTCACCTCTTTCACAAGGGTGTGTTCCCATAGAAATGAAAGTGGAGCATCTGTCTCCTTTTCCAGCTTGAAATTGCATTTTCAGCCACTGAAAGCTTCATGAACGGCAGCACCTTTGAGAGATCTGATGGATGTCAGATCTTGTCTCCATACAACCAAATGCAGAAAGGTATTGAAGCCTGCAGAGCTGGTGCCTGTCGGTGTTGAGGGCTTCCTGGCTAGTAGAGGGAGAGTTATAATTCAGCAGGCAGCCACAGCTGGAGCGATGTCTGTAAAATGGTCAAGCTGGGGAACATCTGGCCAAAGGGGAAGGGTAACTGAAGCTGTAGGACAGGCAGCTGCAGAGGGCTGCGGAGATGAAGGCTTGAAGGAATGACTAAAGGTGGCATGGGGTGAGCGTAACATGTTGCAGAGGGAGACAGCCAGGGTCAGACGTGACTGGAACCAAGCAGGGGTAACTAGTGTCTCTGTGCACAGGAATGCTGTAAAAATAGCTAGAAAAAGGGCTGTATTACCTTGTCTCTGTGCCAGGTTGTGAAATGACTCTTTAATCTTACATTTATGCAAAGCATACATGTTTCCATGGTAGAACTCACTGTTTTGAAGGAGATCATCCTTCATACAGGAACAGTGACTGTTGCCAGAGGAGACGTGATTAGACAGATAAGGTCAGAGCACACATTTGCTGAGATTAAATCCCTCTAAGTCTTTGAAGAGGTGGAAGGCAGAAGCGTATGAGGAGGGTTTTCATTCTTCGTAAAGGTGAAAAAGCCTGGCTGATTGCAAAGTGTAGATGTACGTGGTGGTGAACAAATGTCTCCTGGGCACGTGAATGGGTTTGCAAGGTGCAGAGCACATTCAGAAGACCTGTCTGAAACTCACTTCTCTCTGAGAGCATTCAAGGTCTCCTCTGGACATTACGTTATCAGATGGGATGTTCAGTTCCAAACAAGCAGTGCTCTTCAGAGCCCAGGTTCTCTCCTGTAGGTGTTCCTCACATCTAGTGAGTCACTGGGAGTTGGACAGGCAGGACCACCTGTATTCAAAATGCTGCTACTGTTGCAAGTCTTCCAGTCTAAGAGCTGTGCCTGGTCCCTCACATGTGGGAAGTTGGTTGTCGAAGGCAAAACAAAGCCCAGCCCATCAGCATGTTGGGGAGTCTTCGTTCCTGATCCATCTAGGATGGGCTTTCCCAGCCTGTGCTCCGCAATGCTTGCTTGTCTCCCTTTCCACTTTTGAAACTTTGATCAGGAGAATTTTGCCTTGCTGAAGGCAGCCCCAGATCTCTTAGCAGCTGCTGACTGGCAGCATCTATTTCCACTTGTGATCCTCTGCCCACTGTCAAGTCCAGGTGTTCCTACCCAAGATTAAAACCTCTTTCTTCTGTAACAAGTCATTGGTCTGAGCTAAGAGCAACTTTTGCTTCTGAACTCGTTGCTCCCTTTTTCCTTTTCGTTCCTAAGTCTCTTGGTGCTTGGAGGTGGTTGGAAGGTGTTAACAGTCCAGTTTAGCTTTGGTGGCGATCTAGTCCTGGCAGCTGGCGTTGGGGAATCAGGAAATCTTTTCCTTTGGGCTCTTTGAGGAGTTGTTCATGGTAAGGTGCGATGGAGGTTGTGAGGTGGAATGACTTTTCCTCCAGTCCAGCTTACGTCAGATCACCTCTGGAAGGGATTGTCTTCTAGGTACAGCACCAAGCAGGCTAGAAACAGGATTACAGAGGCAGCTGCAGGATGTTCTTGTGAAGCGTCACTCTAGTTCAGATAGGGATGTCTGGAGAATCAGCTGTGGCAAAGGGGGCCTCTCTGCGGGAGGGAGTTTGTCTTTGAGCAGCAACATTGGCAGCTGGGCAGGCAGATTCCTCTGCATGCAGCTATGCCCTGAAAGAGAGACCTGAGCTGATGCTGGAAAACAGGAGCTGCAAGAGATAGAGCAGAATAGATCAGATGTACCAGCGAGAGCCAGACAGCTGGGGATCAGCAGGGTTTTGTGCAGTAACAGCCTGCGAAGGACAGCCTTCTCTTGTTTGCCAGTTAACGGTAATGTGTTTGCGCAGTTTGTGATAACTGCACGAGCTGCGTTAAGTAACGGATAAAACACAGGCTCCCAGGCAGTTACAAGGCGGTGGGATGGCTGAGCCTGACTGGGGATCTGAATGCAAATGCTGCAGCTCCGGCAATGCGGGAAGAGCTCTTGAGATGGGCTGTCAGTTTGATGGAGCGAAAAGGCTGGCAGGGAGGTGCCGCGGCGCGCTAATAAAACCTGAGTGTGGGAACCGCTAACTTTTAACAGTTGCAGCCAGTTTCACTGTCTCTCTTTTTTTTCCCTCCCCGACATAATGAAGTTAATAAGAAATTAAAGGGCAGGCTGCCTGTCGGAGTGCTGAAGCTAGTGTTTTGGTGAAACAGCTGGATGTGGAGTGGGTGTGCTCTGCTCCAGCAAAGCACGTGTGTTTGCTGGGATGCTGGGGAAGTGGCCGTGCTAGAAGTGGAGCTGACAACTGATTGCAATAATATCTCAGTGGTTAAACAAGAAGTATGGTGAGACAAACTGGGCAGGCAGGAAAGCTGGAGCTAAATGGGATGTCCGGCTAAATGGTCAGCTCTGTCTTGGCTCTGTAGGCTGTGCTGGAGCCAGATCGATGCACAAGTGCTGTAGAAGGGCTGCCCGGAGACTTTGCAGGTGGCCCAGCTTCACTCCCAGGCCCGTCTCTCGCTCTGAACACCACTCTGCAATGGGATTGCTCCCAGGTTTGTTGTCCTGTTTGGCATCTCGTTTGGGAAGTGCTGGCCAGTAGAAGACTAATGTTGGCCAACTTCCAGAGCCAAGAAGAGCTGCTCAGCAGTGCAGAGAGATCCCAAGCAATGTCCGTTTGATGTGGGATGCTTGCTGGCATTGGAGGCTTTGGAGCAGGGCTCAGCTGCCGGCATCTCTCCCTTGTCTAGGAAGGGGTGCAGGACGAGGGCCCCAGTACCAGCACATTCAATGGGAAAACACCAAGCTTACACACGGGGACATCTACACAAAGATCTCAGCTGTGCTGCTAGCTTGGTATTCTGGTTCACTGGGCCATGACTGGTCCTGAAGATCCCACTGCCTGTAGCCCATGTCTGAGGCAAAACCACCATTTGTGGGGGGATGCTGCATCATGGGATGGTGATTTCCATGCCTTCAAGCACAAGGAGCTTTAGTGGCTTTTATTTAAGAGCTGTTTCTGATCAGGCAACTGCCCCAGAGTTCAGAGGCTCCCCATGTCTTGCAGTTTAGCTCTCCATAGAGTGGAGGCAAGAGGGACGGTCAAAATCAGCCTTGGAGTCCAGTGAAAACAGTGGTTGGGGCACAGGCAGGGGTTTCGGCGGTGCCCCTGACATTGCCAACGTTGCTGCAGATCCTGAAAGCACAAGCACCACTTGGCGGCATCTCTGCTCAGTGCCTGATCCCAGGCTGGCAGCCTTTGGATTGGGCCCATAAACTGCACAGCTCCTGGCGTTTGCTGAAATTACCAGCTTGCAGACGGGGGCGAAGGGGACTTCCAGCGGGAGCGGAGGCTGCCGGCCTCTTGACGATCTATTGACTTAATTTATAGCTCTGCGTTTCTAAAGCAAACAAGCCAGCAGCTTCCTTTAAAAAATACAAGGCAAAGCAAAGCAGCAGAGAACTGCCCGTGGGCCCCACGTCCGGGGCATCTCTGCGCTAGGGGGCCGGCAAGCCGCTGAACGGAGAGGGGAAGGCACAGCTGCAACGACTGCGTTGCTGCAGCAATAACAGTCCTTCGACTCGGCACGAGATGAGCAGCTCGCCTCTCTTTTCCCGTGGAGGCCCAGCACGGCCTTTCCTCATAGCACAAGCCAAAGTTTATTGTCGCCGTCGCCGAATCGTTTCGGCCTTCCCGGCCCCGTTTCCGATGGGAGGAACCAGCCTGCCTGATGGGCAGGTCCTGTCGTGCCGAAACGCGCCTGCACCGTGCAGCTGCTGATTTTTAGAGGTGTCTCCAAGGCCAGACGGTCAGCCTTGGCGAGATGTCTTTGGACTGCAGCTGCGTGCGCAGAGCAACGCTAGCAGTCCTGGAGCTTTCTTGTGGCTTTCTCTTTCCGACGAGAGCGACTCATGCTGTACCTGGGGAACGTAGCACTTTTGTTATATTAAAGCAGTGGGAAATAAAACGCTGTCCATCATATCTGACTCAAATCGCCTTGGCTCCCTGATTTCTGGTTCGCGGAGCTCGCTGGCTCTCCGATAAGGCTGGAGAGCGACGGCTTGGACGAGCCGAGTGCTGCGTTTCTCTCGCCACGCTGCGCGGTTGGTGCAGGGCTGACGCTGGCTTTGCGGGGGCGATAGGACCAGCGGGGCGCGCTGGGGGAATTGGTGCGGTTGGGCACGCGGGACGCCGGGCACGCAGCAGCCTTGGGTACCGTGAGAAGTAACTGCAGCGCGTC